TGCGAAGGTTTTTTGTTTAACACTCCTAAGGCGGGTGAGCACCAGTGGTTAGGACTGAGCTTCCTCCACAAGGCCCTGAGGGCGGGAGAAAGAGGGACTCCAGGACAGGGACTGGGGCAGGGAGGTGGGCGGACCCGCAGGGGTGCTGCCCAACAGGGATCCGGTGGTATCGGTTGCTTCCTTTAACTCTGAGGATATTGTGCCGAGTAGCCCCTTTAAAGTGATTTCTGCCCAGCCAGGCGGGGCTCAGCGGTTGAGCGTTGGCTTAGGATCTAGGAGATCATGGTTCGATTCCCGGTCGGGGCACATGCCCGGGTTGCGGGCTCCATCCCCAGTTGAGGGCCTGCAGGAGGCAGCCGATCAATGACTCTCATCATTGATGTTTCTATCTCTTTCTCCCCCTCTTCGTTCCTCTCTCTGAGACCAATAAAGATATATTTTTTAAAAACAAGTGATTTCCTCCCACACTGCTTTCCGGGGGTCAGGGGGGTTCCGCCTGCACAGCCTGGTGCCCTGGGCGAGGCAGCAGGATGGGCGGTAGTGGGAGCCAGGCCTGGGAGAGGACGGGCCTGCCCTGGGCACCGGTTCCCTCCCGCAAGTCACTGTTCAGGTCCTATCAGCGCACCCCTTGCTGGCTCCAGAAAAGCATCCCCACCACCTTGTGCCCTAATCCTTCCCCGGCTCGCCCGCGGGGTTGGAATCCGAGCAGAAACCATCTTTGGAATCTGTTTGCTCCTCGCCTGGTACCCCCTGGCACCCAACCGGGGTTTAAACGGGGGGAAGACAGGCCCGCAAAGCCTTCCCTCCAACGGGAGAAATCACGGCAGCTCGGGTTCCAAATAATTAAGGAAACAAGGACGGAGGGAGCCAGTGGCACCGGGATGGGCCGCGCTGTGCNCGCCGCTCGCGCCCTTTGCACGCGCCGCCCCCCCGGGCGGTGACACCGGCGAGGGAGGGACCCTCGGGCGCTGGGGCAGCTGGGTGGCTACGTGCTGCCTCCCCGCGTCTCGTGAACAACGACACCCGCTTATTCAAAACACAGGCGCTGAAAACAAACAGGGGGGGGAACAA